GGCCTCCCACGTAGTCGACTGCGGTTCACTTCCCAGACCCGGCAGCTTAAACTCACGCCAGGCGAGTGTGCGTGCGTGCCCGGGATCCCGAGGGGAGAATGGAGGAGAGGGGATTGCAGCATGGCTATCCCCCCTGGGGGGTGATTTCTCGGTTTCTGTCTCTATCTCTGTCTGTCTGGCGAGCACATGCGCCCTATAGCAAAAACCTCTAAAAAATTATTGTTATTATTTATTCATTTATTTATTTTAATTTGACCAGAGAGAGACACCAAGAGAGAGGGAAAGTGAGAAAGTAAGCCACCAGGTCCGGGACTCAAACTGTGGTGGGCCATATGGAAGTGTCCAGCGCCTTAACTACCATGCTACCTGCTGGTCCCTCCATGAACTTTTGAAGCCCCCACATATAGTATTAGCTATTCTCTTTTGTGGGCTCCTTGGTCTCCATACCAACACCGATGATATGATTAGGCGGTGGTGCTGGAGAGTAGGGAGGGTGATGGGCCCTCGGAAGCCATCCGCAAGAAGATGAGAACTGTTGGGTGGCATCTGGGAGCAGCACAGGCCCTCATCCTTTCTCTCCCATCTCCAACCCCTTTGACTTTACAGGCACATGAGTGGGTGGATGAGGGCTCTGCTCGGCTGGCAGGAGCTGGGCCTGGCCGAGAGGCTGTGCTGGCAGCCCTGGCCCTGCGGCGGGCCCCAGAGCCCAGCGCTGGTACCTTCCAGGAGATGCGGGCTCTGGCTCTGGACCTGGGCAGCCCCGCAGCCCTGCGAGAATGGGGCCGCTGCCGGGCCCGCTGCCAAGAGCTGGAGAGGAGGATTCAGCAGCAGCTGGGAGAGGAGGCCAGTCCTCGGGGCCACCGGCGACGGCGAGCAGACAGTGCCAGCAGTGGAGGGGCCCAGCGGGGGCCCCACAGCCCCTCGCCCAGCCTCAGCTCCCTGCTGCTCCCTAGTAGCCCTGGGCCACGGGCAGCCCCATCCCATTGCTCTCTGGCTCCATGTGGGGAGGACTGTGAGGAGGAGGGCCCTGAGCTGGCTCTGGAAGCAGAGGGCAGGCTCCCGAAGACTGTACTGATCCGCGGTCTAGAGGTCACCAGTACCGAGGTGGTGGACAGGACGTGCTCACCACGAGAACACGTGCTTCTGGGCCGGGCCGGGGGTCCAGATGGGCCCTGGGGAGTAGGGACCCCCCGGATGGAGCGCAAGCGAAGCATCAGGTGAGTGCCCGGCTCAACTGGGGCCCGGTTGCCCAGCAGGAGATTGTGACATTGTTAGAGGGTGACAATGCTCTGCCACGCTATTGCCCTGCAGTGCCCAGCAGCGTCTGGTGTCTGAGCTGATTGCCTGTGAGCAAGAGTATGTGGCCACCTTGAGTGAGCCAGTGCCGCCCCCCACACCTGAGCTGACCACTGAGCTGCGGGGCACCTGGGCCGGTGTCCTGAGTGCCCGGGAGAGGCTTCGCAGCTTCCACCGGACACACTTCCTACGGGAGCTACAGGGCTGCGCCACCCACCCACTGCGCATCGGGGCCTGCTTCCTTCGCCATGTGAGTGAGCCTCTGAAATGTCTTCCAAGTGCTCTCCCTTCCCACATTCCAGCCCCATCTACCTGTCCCTCCTCCTCAGCGTCTACTGCCCCCTGTCCCATCCCCCACCTGGTGTGGTCCAGGCTCTAGGCTAGGCCCCTCTGGTGCTACTCAGCCTCCTGTTCCTGTCTTCAAGTGCTGCCTAGACTTCACTTTCCCCACAGGGAGCCCTGATGCTCCCGTGACCTATCACTCCTGTGGGCCGCTGGGGAAGGGGAAAGGGACAGGTCTGTCTGCTGAGGCCTCATGGGGATGCCTCACCTCTTTCCTTCTGGCACAGGGGGACCAGTTCAGCCTTTATGCCCAGTACGTGAAGCACCACCACAAACTGGAGAATGGTCTAGCTGCACTCAACCCCCCAGCCAAGGTAACTTCTCTAGCCTTCATAGGAAAAGAAGAGAGGCCAAGGAGGCTTAAAAACTCACCCAAGCTCTCTCCAAGGGGAAAAAAAAAAAAAAAAAAAAGCTTTCCCGGCTGTACCCAGGAACGGTGGAGGGTGGGACAAGCTCTGGGTTGGGAGCCAGGCGAGGCTAGGTTCTTACCCAGTCCACCTGAGGGAACTTGGGCAAGACTCAGGATTCCAGTGGGCCTCTAGCTCTGCATGTAATGCACTAGAGCAGCAGTCACCGGAACTCACAGGGAGCTCTGAGGATCCAAAGGCCTCCATCAAGAGATGTCAAAGTGACTTCAAAAGTTAAAAGCCAGGGGGAACCAGCAGTTAGCGTAATGGCTATGTCGCTGGACTCCCACGTGGTCGACTGCGGTTCGTGTCCCGGACCCGGTGGCTTAAAAAAAAACTCACGCCGGGCACCTGCGCGTGCGTGCCCA